CACTTTGGGAGACTGAGGCGAGTGGATCACGAAGTCAGGAGATGGAGACCATAACACAGTGAAACCCCGTCTTTACAAAAAATTAAAAAAAAAAAAAAAAAGGCTAAAAGTCTTTTTACTAAAAGACTTCAAACACTTTGTCTTTATTAAAAGATTTATTGCACTGACATTATTTCTCTACACTGTGAAATCCTTTGATGCCGAGCAAATGTGAACTTTAGCTAAAGCCTTTTCCACATTCATTACATTGATAAGGTTTCTTTCCACTATGAATTTTCTGATGGAGAATCAGAGATTATGTGTGGACACAGGCCTTCAACATACACTACAATGATATAGTCTCTGAAGTATGAATTCTCTCATGTTCAATGAGTTGGAAGACATGACTAAGACTTTCCACACTGTGCACATTTATACAGCTTATCTTTTATATGAGAAATTTGATAATAGTGTTAAGCCATGGTTAAAGGCCTTCCCACATTCAATATATGTATCAGGTAAGACATGAGCTGTACCTAAAAGTCTTCCAGCATTGATGATGTAAGTTTGTCTCCACTATAAATTATCTGATGCAATTAAGGATTATTTGCCAAAGCCTTTTCCACATTCATCACATGTACAGATTTTTCTGTAATAGTAAGTCTGATGAAAGAGATTTGCTCTGGACAAAGGAGGATTCCATACTTTCATTGAAATGCAAAGGTTTTTTCCCCTATTATTACAGTATTCCGTAGTGGCTGTACCATTTTACATTTCCATCAAGAATGCACAAATGTTCCATTTCTCTATGCCCTTAACACTTACTTTAGTACCTCACACAATGGGTGTGAGGTAACATATTTTATTGTGATTTTGATATGCATTTATCTACTGATTAGTGTTGAGCATCTCTTCATATACATGTTGCCCATTTGTATGTCTTCACTGGAGAAAACCTACGAGTTCTTTGCTCATTTTGTTTTTTGTTGTTGTTCGAGACGGAGTCTTGCTCTGTCACCCAGGCAGGAGTGCAGTGGCACAGTCTCTGCTCATTGTAACCTCTGCCTCCTGGGTTCAAGAGATTCTCCAGCCTCACCCTCCGAAGTAGCTGGGACTACAGGTGCTACGCACCACTACACCTGGCTAATTTTTGTATTTTCAGTAGAGATGCGGTTTCACCATGTTGCCCAGGATGGTCTTGATCTCCTGACTTCGTGATCCACCCACCTTGGCCTCCCAAAGTGCTGAGATTTGAAGAGTTAGCCACTGTGCCCAGCCTGTTTGCCCATTTTCTAATTAGGCTACTTGGCTTTTTGTTAAGTTGTAGAAGTTTATATATTCTGAATATTAACCCTTTATCCAACATATAACTTGCAAATCTTTTCTCCAGTTCTTTTTAAGTTTGGAGTTTTAGTCTATGTGGATTCCAGAAGCAATGGGGTTTTTTATTTGGGGGAGGAATTAGTTATAATTTAATGTAGAGAATAATTTGGAAAATAATAACTTACTGGCAATAATGAGATTTCACATCCAGTAATATGTCTCTTCATTTAATCTTTTCAATGCTTTTTGATCAGGATCCCTCATGTTTTTATTTGCATTTCTTGACATTTAAAAATTAAGTTTAAATTGATATGCTCAAATTACAGTAAAGGTCAGGCGTGGTGGCTCACGCCTGTAATCCAAGCACTTTGGAGGCCAGGGCAGGCGGATCACCTGAGGTCGGGAGTTCAAGACCAGCCTGACCAACATGGTGAAACCCCATCTTAAAAAAACAACAACAACAAAAAAAACAAATTACAGTAAAACATTTTTTACACATAGTGGTCATATCTGGGAAGAATATTCAATTTTTACATTAATTCTAATTGTGATTCAGTTGAGTTTCACAGACAATTTGTATAGCTAAAGTTGAAAAATAGGCCAGGTGTGGTGGCGCATGCCTGCAAACCCAGCACTTTGGGAGGCCAAGGCAGGCAGATCACCTGAGGTCACAAATTTGAGACCACCCTGGCCAACATGAAACCCAGAAGCGGAGGTTGCAGTGAGCCACCACTGCACTCCAGCCTAGGCAACTCCGTCTCA